CAAAAGTCGCGAAGGCCTTCTCTGTCTCAGCTAACTAATACTCGGCATCTTCAAAAGAGAATGCCCATACAAAGGTAGATGAGTTTAATCTTTTATACATTTCAATGTAGCATGGGTCCATCATGGGTAGAATTGGGTCCCGTGGAAGAGAAACTGAATTGTACTGGGAAAGGACAGGGTGGCCCTGTGGTGGTGTCGGATGATACAGTGGAGGCACCGGGTTGTACTGTGGCGATACCAGATGATGCGATGGAATTACTGGATTGTACTGTGGTGGTGCCATATGGTACAGTGGAGGAGCAAGATTGTACTATAGTGGTTCTAGATCTTCTCGCTGCAAGGGTGGCTCAAATTATGGCAGCGAGGGAGGGTCAGACAGCTCCCTCCTTTCCTCCCAGACCTGCTGGGCAGAGATGAGTCTCTCCAATATCTCAAAGAGTCGGTTAACATCCTCTTAAAGTGATTCATTCCGGGCTGTTCAATTTAGTGGGGGTCTTCCTCTCCTAATTTTCTTGTACCTGGATTTCACAATGAAGGGTTAAGCGATAATTTGTATTTGGTGTAGTTTATATTTGGTGTTTTTAAGTCTTTATTTAAGAGATAATTCCGAGGAACACGACTTCGATACCAATTGTAAAAGCTTGAAATTTTAAAGAGAAATGAATTCATAAAATTAAATGCAAAAGCAATTAATAGAGTTAGGGTTTACATTCTTTAGACAATAGTTTAAAACGTCTAATAGGGCTACGAGAATGTCCATACTAAAAGACAAACGGTAATTAAAGAAATAAAAAGAAGAACGAATATAAAAGTACCATAGAACAACCTTCACTAGCACTTGAAGGAAGTCCGAGTGGTGAACTACTCACAACCCTCTTGCTGATCAGGATCAGGATCTTAGTCTTCTTGATCTAAAGTAGTTAATGAAAGGGTGAGCTATACTAGCCCAGTAAGAATATCACACTAATCACATATACAAAAAACTGAAGATTGGTAAAAATCAGAAAAATAACTAATGGAGCCTCTGCTTTATTTAAATACCTTTAAACTTGAAGATGTTTGTTTGATACTTACCATAACGAGTTTGGCAAAAAAAAAACCTATGAAAACCCATATTCATACCATTTTTCACTTTCACACATAAAAAAATAAGAGATAATAACTTTACTTTCTTACTTGCTTACTGGTACCCCTAGGGGTTCATAGGGATGTCCCCCTACTCGTGAACCCAATATCTAATTTTAGAATTAACCGATCGTCTCCATACCCCGTTCGATAATGGACGCCAAATATTTCATCATCTCGATACCCCGTCCGGTAAGATGGTGAACCATATTTTTCAAACCTTTCTAGTAAGAGACTTTCCAACCCTGTCCGACTAAGATAACTTTCACGGTAGGATTCTCTATGTAATGGGCCTGTCTGCCCTTTTTCATATGTACCCAATAAGTCTTTCACATACAGATTTCCAACAACAAACAACCAACAAACGCATACCAATATCTCATATTATATTTACAGATTAATTAAAATACATTCATGCTGACGGTATATAACCAAAATAACCAGAAAAATCAATAAG